ACCACCCTTAAGGTCATCAGTAAATCCTGATACAGAGTATTGTTTGGCAAGCGTAGGCCCAGTAAAAGGGCTAAATCATGGGGGATTACTCCTGACCCTGCTTTGTAGCTCACCACCCATTGCAGGAATGCACTAAATATCTCTCAGAGCAGGCAAAAGTCAAACAGCCCACGTGCATGCATTGGCCCGCATCTATTTTGACTTTAAACATAAAACTCAGAACAAGCAACAAAAAAAGCAAACCCTGACCCTAAAAGTTGGACCTTGCCATAAGGAGCCTGCTGCTATGAACCTTAATTATTCCTACGGTTTGATAAAGAAAACTTTCAGATGGTGAAACAAGACTAGTAGGTTAAAATCATTTCTAGTTTCCTCCTCAGTGTCACAACAAGCGGCTTAGATCTTTAACACCAAGAGTTTTACTTTTCATTATTTATGCAGTTTGCTTTACATATTTATCGTGGTTGTAGTAATTAACAGCCAATGAGTCAACCTCACTTTTGTGACAGTTATTGTTGAATGTATTTAAGTGCCACCCTGGGAAACATTAATAAAGACAATCTCTGCTCTGAAGAGCTTACAATCCAAGGTCCTGGCCCTACATGTTTAATTCTCAGCACATGAGTAATTCCTTTCAAGTCAACGCAACTACCTCGGCACTTAAACATATAAGTGTTTGCCACATCATGTCTTAAGGGCCAAGACCTGAAGGTGTTTGAAATGAGTGGCTGGCCATGGCAATGAATGCTAGGCTGGGTCATACTGTTTCAGGCTGGGGCTATGAAACACAGAGGAGACCGGATCCCCACAGCATGGTTTCGTTTTGATGCTCTCAGTCGCTACCACAATGGGCTCATTGTTTAAGCAGTAGATAGCGCAGGGGTCTTGCAACTAAGGTTTCTAGAAAAGTGACCCCTGGGGCCTAGCAAGAGTCGAGTCAACTGAATCACCCTCTGAGGTCACAGGTCAACAGTACTAAACTCCCTTAAGGCTTCTCATGCAACCACACACTCATCCAATGATGGTGTACTTTGAAACCAACATGCCCCCTATACTAGCATAAAACATTATCTCTGTTCACCAGCAAAGCACTTGCTGACCTCATGCTCTTGACGGTCCCAGGAGTCACAGGACGAGATAGGGAAACCTTTGACAAACCTTCCGTGCCAAGTTTTGTTAGCACCTTATCTAGATAAATATACCTTGTGTCTTGTGAGCTTGTCTCTACTTGTGCCACGTGCAGCAAGGAAAATGATCCCAGCCCTCGAAATCAAAAGGTTGCTTTGGCAGCAACACCACCATAAGCACTGCTAGCATTTGCATAACAGCTGGCATCCGAGAATCAAAGAGATCAAAGAGTGAAACCTCCCCAAACCCCACGAAGATAGGTAAGTCCTGCTACTTGCAATGCTTTCATGGCTGGCCCTGCTCTTGCCTATTTTGTTCCTGAACTTGTGGAGTTTGGATGCTTTTCAGGGGGCTTCCTGGCTCTCCACTTAAGGCCTTGTGTATACTTAAAAGTTCTGGCAAATTTGCTGTGCCTGTGTGGTTAAAGCAGTACCATTTCCGGCCCCTCTCCCCCACCCCCATAACACACTAGTGAAGCCACAGTTTTCTTGCATACAGATGCTTATTGCAGTCCAGTGAAGGGAAATAAACCGTGCTGGAATATGGTCTCCACGTTCAGGACACTTACCCGTACGCCCGTACCATATAGTGGTATAATATCACAGGCTTCACCAGCCTAGGAAGGCTGATAGTTATTTATTTATTTAGTGTAGATGAGGCCTGAGCTACAGCAACCTCAATTCTGTGGTCTCGCTTTCACTTTGCTCCCCATGGATCTGCCTGGAGCGTAATGGACTTCAGCCATACCCCCATCCACTGCTACAGTGGGCTCTGAGTGGAAGACAGATGTCCTCAAAGGCATCCATACCCAATTTAAGGCCCATATGTGGTACCCAAACAGCATAAAAGAACCCTAACTAGGCAGAGAATTGTGCCATGAAAGCTTAAGTGATTTACGAAAAGTCCCATGGCAAATCCCTGGCAGCAGCGGGACCAAAATCTAGAAGTCCTGACCCCCTGTCAGAACCCTGGATACGAGCTCCTACCACCCAAAGGGCTTACCATAAATTGATACGCATTTGGTCCTGCTTCCACCTTCAGTAAATGAGTCAGGGATACGGATGCCAGGGCAACCCAGCTATCTTTGTGAGCAATATGCCTCGCCTTCCTTTTTTGCACGAGGATTTCTGCGGCCCTCACTGTCCTGCTCACGTTGCCAGTGAAGCTGTACTCAGTCAGCCTTTGACCTCGCCGTGGTATCAGCAAAACCAACCCCTCACCCAGATTTCTGTCCCTTTTGGCTCAGCTGCACTCCCCTCATCTCGCACGTCTTGCATGTTGCCTTGTTCGAACCACCAAATGCTTCTCTGCTCTCAGTGCCATTCCCACGCCTTGACATTTGGGCTGGGATATTCCCGGGCCAGCCGCACAACGGCATGTGGAAATCACTAAGGATGGCGCAATGTGTTGGATCTGGAGCTGCGTTTTATCAAGCTGTTAGCCACTGGATTACTACAAAGTATAGACATTTTTTATAATAGCTAAATACATTGAAAACAGATGTAGCATGTTCTGCGTCTGTTCCCTCTGGAGAGCTGCCACGATTATGTAATAGCTCAGCTGGGGTGGCAAGTCTCTTTCAGAGGGTGGTAAAGCATTTGCCTAGGGTGACTTTGGGGCCCTCTCTCACTTATTTCCCTGCCGCTCGTGGCAATTTTTCAATTGAAAGTGCTCAGAAGAGTCATTTTTTGGCACTGCGTTTTATGAATGCCTTTCCCCCGCCCTGCCTTACTCCATTAAACACGGATAATAAGCTCAACACATTGCAGTCAGGTGCAGCCAGCGTGCTCTGCCTCTGCTGTGCTCCACAGACTTGGAGCCCTGCCCGCTCTGCTCAGAATAATACCCGGCGCTTAGCCGCTTCAAAGTGCTCTTACAGACGTCAACTAATTAATCTGAACAACACCCCTCCGAGGGAGGTGAGTTAGTATTACCGGCGCTGCCAAGCAGATGGGAGAGCTGGGGCACAGCCCCGAAGGGACTTGGCCAAGGTCAAAGGCGCCCGTGTCAGAGGAGGGAGGGCCGGGTTTGCTGGGTTCGGCTCAGACCACTAAGCCGGCCACACCTCTGCCTTATGTAAGATCCCAGTGCTTTCCCACGGGAGTGTCCCGTGCCCTCCGCACGACAGCCCTGGCGCTGGATGCCCTGCTCCAGCCTCCATGGGGCAGCCCTGCAGCCCACCCTGGTTCTCCCCGTCCAGCCAAAAACCCCCGGGGGAGTGGGGAGGGGCACTGCGCCTGCAGCCTGGCTCTCCTTTCATGGGCCAGGACCCAGGCTGGGGTGGAGGGGAACTCGTCCCCAGATGGCAGAGCCCTGGGCACTGAAGGGGCAGCTGGGGACACTGCAGGGGCACTGACAGGCAGCCGGGGACACTGAAGAGGCACTGAGGGCGTGCTGAGGGGACACAGAAGAGGCACTGGGGATGCACTGAGGACACTGGGGGGGACACCGAGGGGAAACTGGGGGTGCACTGAGTGCATGGAACAGGCACTTAGGGCACATGGAGGGACAATGAAGGGGCACCAGGGGACGCTGAGGAGGCATGGAGGGTGCACTGGGGGCTCACTGAGGTGGCACTGCGGGCACTAAGGGTGCACTGGGAGCACACTGAGGGTGCACTGGGGGCTCTAAGTGTGGGGGGGCACTGAGGGTACACTGGAGGCACACTGAGGAGGCGCTGGGGCTCACTGAGGTGGCACTGAGGGTGCACTGGGGGCACTAAGTGTGTGGGGGGGCACTGAGGGTACACTGGAGGCACACTGAGGAGGCGCTGGGGCTCACTGAGGTGGCACTGAGGGTGCACTGGGGGCACTAAGTGTGTGGGGGGGCACTGAGGGTACACTGGAGGCACACTGAGGAGGCGCTGGGGCTCACTGAGGTGGCACTGAGGGTGCACTGGGGGCACTAAGTGTGTGGGGGGGCACTGAGGGTACACTGGAAGCACACTGGGGGTTCACTGGGGACACTGAGGAGGCACTGGGGGCACTGAGGGTGCACAGCGGCTCACTGAGGTGGCACTGGGGGCACACTGAGGGTGCACTGGGGACACTGAGGGGGCACTAAGAGTGCACTGGGAGCACACTGAGGGTGCACTGGGGGCTCTAAGTGTGGGGGGGCACTTAGGGGTACACTGGAAGCACACTGAGGAGGCGCTGGGGCACTGAGGGTGCACTGGGGCTCACCGAGGTGGCACTGGGAGCACACTGAGGGTGCACTGGGGCTCACCGAGGTGGCACTGGGAGCACACTCAGGGTGCACTGGGGGCACTGAGTGTGTGGGGGGCACTTAGGGGTGCAGTGGGGGCACTGGGGGTTCACTGGGGCTCACTGAGGGTGCGGTGGGGGCAGCAGCGGGGGCGCACGGAGGCTGCCGCGGG